AGTGAAGTTAGCCAATCCCCCAAAATACAAATGCCAAATGTTTTCTCTCATATAAGGAGGCTGATTCATAATGAAATTGGGAGAGGGAGCATGGGAGAAATAGACAAACTCTCAATAGGGCAGAGGGGTTGGAGGGGAAGGGAGGGGGCATGGGGTTAGAAATGATGCTGGAATGTGATGGCCATTATTATCCAAAGTACATGTATGAAGACACGAATTGGTGTGAATATACTTTGTATAGAACCAGAGATATGAAAAATTGTGCTCTATATGTGTAATAAGAATTGTAATGTATTCCACTGTCATATATAAATAAAAGTAAATAAATAATAAAAATCCATTTGGTTATTGATGAACATTGGATTGTGTATGAGTAAAGTAGTTACGAAGACATGAAGACTCTTGTGTAATCCTTGGTGGAGAGACATGCTTTTTTCTGTTGGCTGTTTATATGGGAGTAGAATTGTCGGATCAGAGGGTGGACATACTTTTAGCTTTGGCAGAAAAATATTCTTTTGTAGAATGATTGCTCTAATTTACCTTCCTTCTAGAGGTATGTTTCTGTTGCTCTGCGTCTTTGCTAATACTTGGTATTGTTAATCCTTTTCATTTAGGCATTCTGGCAGGGATGGAATGGTTTCCACATTATACCTTAAATGACTAAATTAAAACCATATGCCTACAAAATGGAGTATTACATACCTATAAACAAATGTTTTCAAAGAAGATTTAGTATTCTGGGACATACTTGTGATATGTAAAGATGAAAACTAATATTTAAACTTTACATTTTTATTTTAATATATGCATATTAATAAAGAGGACTTGAAGTAATTCACCAAGATATTGAGGACTAGAAATAATTCACTGAATCATTTTTTTCCGTTCACACTTTCATGTAATCATGAAATGTTCTACAATGGATGAATATCAACTTTGAAAGCAGGAAAAAACATTAGTCATTTAAAAAAAAATTCTTTGGGAAATTCAACCTTCTATGTTCTCTTCTGGGCCTTTCGTCTGTACAATGGGCCTATGTCACAACCAACAAGGAGTGCTTTTCTACAGGGAAGTGATGGCTTTTAAAAGGTACTACTTCCTGCACTGTGGAGGAGGTAGTGGCCTCGGGGAGAGTTAGGAATGAGGGCGAGAAAGTGAAGGGAACTTCCGGAGAAGAGGCTGGGGCACTCTATCAGGTTCCTGGTGGCACAGGGAAGGGGGCCCTGGAGTGAGGGTGTGGTGGGAAATGGGAACAGAAGAGTGGACATCCCAGGACCTCGAGGGGATCCCAGTGAGGACATTGAGAGGTAGCCTAGTTGTGTGTGGTTTCTTGAGGTCTCAGGGTGGGGACAGAGAGTGGGTAGAGGGCCAGAGCCACTGAGTATTAGTCCCTTGAGTATCCCGAGCTAGATCTCCTCCTCTGGTGACCTGGACCCAAGGTGGCTGGTTGCCTGCTTCCTTCCTGCCTTCTTTCTCACTTGGTTTCCATCAGCGTCACCGTCCTTCTCTGTCCTCCTGTTATTGAAGTGGCTTTGCTTTCAGTCGTCTGCAAAAAAAATGAGGAGGCAGTTGTTCCAATTCACACATGTTCAGGTTCAATCCAGACCACGGGATGCCCAGGTAAATACTATGAAGCACGACGTCTAGAAATGAGAGCTCTGGGGTGTCGCTGTTGGAGTCAGGGTTGAGAACCAGTGGTGTAGCCTTGCCTTGTGCTTTTTGTTTTCAGGCCTGTGCCTTTTTATTGCATTCTAACTCGAGCTTATCCCAGGCCTTCCCAACATTATTCGCAGAGCAGTTTGACACTTGACATTTTTGTCCTTGACTTATCTATCCAAACTCCCATTTTCTGCTTGTACCTTTTAAAAAATTGAGAACAAGGTACTCTGCCTTGAAGCCATGGTGATGATCTCTCTAGATGCCTTCTTTTTATCATCAGGATTACTTGGGAATATATAGTCCAGACATTTACTTTTGAAAGATGTGAACAGAGGGGCATCTTCAAATTTTCTGATCTTTTTGTAAGCTATTATCATAGACGCATAGATTGATGCCTAAATTCTCCTTTGTATCATTAGAGACACTTTTTTGACTGGAAGTTGGAAAAAAATCATATATTATTAGATTGTCTATCAAGAAGTCCAGAGCCCCGGGGCTGCCTCCTGGGCAAACTAAGCAGCAGTCCCCAGAGGCCAGGTCTTCTATCTTCCTATCCTGCAACTTAATGCTGGGGTCCGGGCGGGCTCTGCTCCCAGGCCAGCGCCAGGTGGCTACAGCAGTTTCAATAATCACATCCAAAGAAAACCTCACCAGGAGCAAAAAGAAAAAGTCTCTTGCAAGGTCTCCCAGGGAGTGAAGGAGCTTTCCCCCAGAAACTCCGTCAGCAGAGTTCCCCTCAAGTCCCATTGCTAGGCGCGCGCGTGTGTGTGTGTGTGTGTGTGTGCGCGCGCGCGCGCGCGCGTACGTGCGTGTGTGTGTGTGTGTGTGTGTGTGTGTAGCGGGAGGGGGGGGCTTCCCAGTGCTAAACCAAACACAACAAAGGGAAGTGGTTTTACCCCTGGAGGTGGGATAAGGTCTTACTCCCCTGAGACATGTGGGGGAAGGGTTAATAGACCCCCTCCCCTCCAGAAAATCAGAGCTTAGCCCACTATGAAGAAATGGGCAGGCTGGAGAAGCAAATGCAATTGGAGGAGCATCCCATTTTTTTAAAAAAATATTTTTTAGTTATAGATGAATGCAATATCTTTGTTTTATTTTTATGTGGTGCTGAGGATTGAACCCAGTGCCTCACATGTGTGAGGCAGGTTCTCTGTGCCTGAGCCACAACCCCAGCCCCAAGCATCTTTTTTTATTCAACTAAGCATCACCCAAACCTGAGGGTACTACCATGTTTCTCTGGAGGTTTCTAACATTTCCACTAGGATCACTTTCCGCTGGGTCAAAATGAATAGCAGTTTTGTCACTTCTCTCACCCCCACGGGAGGGCTTTATCAGCAGGAAGAGTTAATCAGACCCTTGGCAAGTAAGGTCAAGTAAGGTTTGTCATCCGCCTGTAGCATCCTCACAGTATCCTGCCTCAATGTCCTCTGTAGGGGGACAAACCTTGACAGCTACTGTCTAGTGAAGAAATATATAGTGTAACCCATGATCACCATCCTGGGTCCATCATCACGCAGCACTCCTCACTCCCCTCCCAGGAGGAAGAAGTCCCAGCACCGTCTTGTTGACGTACGGTGCTGTTTCTCCTTGCTTATTCCCCTTCCTTTTGGGCAATGCAGATGTGCAATCCCACCTCAAGTTACCTGCCAGTCGGACTTGGGTCCTCTTGGTAGCACATCCAGTTCTACCAACTGTCCAGGCTCTACGCCCTGGTTAGCGCTCAGCTGAGGTCGTGTCTATTTGGTGGATTGCTGGATTCTAACATAGACTTATTTTTTACATTTTCCCCCATTCTTTGAATACAGAATCACCCACATTATTTTTCTCTGATCTTTTTATAAGTGACTTTCATAAAGCTTCGAGAACATGTTGATGGCCAGTACTTGATTTTCAACTTGTATTTTGACAGGTTTGTCACATTAAGTTCTTAGGCAAAGTGGCGCTCTAAATATTTAAGAATAATCCTTACATCACACTGACAAGAGGCATTATTTTAAATGTTACATATGAAAAAACTGAAGCTCAAATCTTAAGCAACTTGTTCAAAGTCAACTGGCTCAAAGGCAGGCCTGACGCTAAAGCTCAGCTATTCTTGTGGTATTATCTGAGGACTGAATAATATGTTGAATTGTAGATAATTATCAGATCTCAAAAAATGCTTCTGAGAAACAGTGAGGGCAAATGGCACACTAATTAGTGGAACACAGTTAAGTGATATCCCCAGGGAAAACCATGTGATAAAGGGAATGTGAGGGGAGCCAGGCTCAGGAATGCAGAGGAAAAACAGCCATCTTGTCTAGCTTATCTGGGAACTCTTGCCTGAGAATTAAAGAAAAAAAAATTATATTCCTGTACGTAATGTCTGACTGAAGGCCTGAACCCGAGTTCCCAGGTCTGCTGTTGGTTCGTTCCACCCTTCCCCTCTGAATCCCTCGACTTCCTTGCAGGTTTACAGTAGTTTCTTCAGACTTCCCCAGCCAAATAAGCTTTGAGAAATAAATGTTTGTAGACAACAGAACCCAGACATTGCATGCTTGAATTTTACATTAGAAAACCAGTTAGAGCCTCGCGGAACCATTTTTGGAAATGTGTGTTTGCGTATTTACTCAATTCCTTTTTCATTGGTTGATTCATAGAAAAGAGTGTGACATTCCACTTTCCCAAATGTTGATTTATTATGTCTACTTTGTATTTCTTGAAAGCTGTCATTTTTTAAAAAGTGGCAGACTATTTAAAAAATAGCTTAAAGGACAAACATTTAACATCACTGTCAAAGACCACAAAGTTTGATATCAAAGTATTAGATGTTTCTCAATTTTATCTACAAACTCTTTCAGAAGCTCTTTTTATGTATAAAAGAGCTGCATATGTGTGACAGCCTTCTGAGCAAAGTGGGCTGGGGACCTGGTACACCAGGAGTCACAGCCAATCACGGGCTGCCCAAGAGTAAGAATGTCGAGTTACCCTGGCCGTGGAAATGGTACCAGGAACCACCAGCAGTCTGTGATCTTGTTTCAACTGCATTATAAATTACATGTCTCCTCTCAAGCCCTCTCCCCTCTGATCCCATCCAATCTAACATGTGACATATTACCAAATGACAGTGGAAAAAAGGGGGAATGCCTGTAACAGTCACTGGTGATGGTATGACACATTAAATTTTGGTGGGCCACTTCTCTTTGATTTTTGGTTAAATAGAACAGAGTGAACACTGGCACCATGTTGAATTTTACTGAAGAATGTCATAAAATAAATTGAGCAAAGATAAAAAGAGTAGTGTGATAAAGAACAGGAAAATACACCAAAATTCTGACTTGAAGTCATTTTAAAGAAGAGAAATATTCTACAACAGATAAAGAAAGTTTTAATTTCTTTTCACATTAACATTGCTTACCACAATCAGTTAACAGAAATTACTGTAACATTGGTCAAGATGACTTCATAAAACTAAAGATGTTTGTTATGAGAAAACCTCAATGTGAATGATGATGTTAGATACTATATTTTTCATGATAAGATACAACTTATTTTGAAAAGAAAGCAAATATTTCAGATCAGGGAGACATGCTGAGGTTTTAATAAAAGAAACGCATTGCTTTGTCCAGAATACTTAAGTCTAGGACACTTCAGGTAAGAGATGAGTCAGATGCCAAGCGCTGGGCAGGAGCACAGGCCCGCAGTTCAGGCTTTATTTACATGACTGGGTCTATGCAGCTCCCACCTTCAGGTTAAGTGAGGGGCTATTTTTGGCAGAGGATCTTCAATAGTGGCCTTGCATATGGATCAATTCTATTTTAACCATCAGGCAGTCCGAGGAATTGTTTTTAAGGGATAGTTGAGTATTTTCATGTATATACTATTAAGGCATCTAAATTTTTGGTGTTTTCAGTATATAATTTTACTGCTACTTTTTATTCTTTCTCCATTTTGTACAACTATAATATTAGATATTAAGTGACATAATTCTTTCTCTACTAATGAATCATTTTATCCCACTTAGCAAACTCTAAATTGAAGTCTTACAAAAGGGAAAAATATATAATGTGGAAACACACAAAAAACTGTATTGAAAACAAACAGAACTTTTTAACCATCAGAAAAACGTAATCATGATTAACTGATAGTCTTTAACTTTGGAAAAATAGGAGTAATTAGAATCAAAATAAGTCCTAAAAATAATTACCAGTAGTTTGTTTTCCAAAAGAAAAATAGAGCCATAAATGGTTAATTGCCCAATTAAGAAACTACCAGATTCTTCTTCAGTCAACACTAACAGGATTCACATTTGAGCAAGGCAACAAAGCATATAAATATTTAACATCTCTTGAATATAACATTTTAGTATAACAGAGACTACATAATTCTATCCACTGTTGTGACTGTGCACAAATTAACCAGGTTAAATATCAAAGATACATTGGGATTACTCCCAAACCAACAACAGAATATTAATTGAAATGAATTTTAAAAGATTCAGAAATAAAAGTAGAAAACAATTTTAACATGGATGAGACAGTGCTTAAACAATTACTGACCTAATCAACACCTTTAAAATTACCACCAAAATGTACTACAATATATTTTTTTTAATTTAGTTTACAGAAGGAATCTATAAGTACAGGTTGCAGAAAGAAAAAGTTTAGTGCTATTTACATTCATTTTAAAACTCTGCTCTATACAAATTTAATTCTGATCAGTAGGAACAATATTTTTGTAGATCTACTGCATATAAAGCCTTTTCATCAAAGCATTAACAATGAACAAACAACCTGATTGCATTTAAACAAAGCTGAACATCTGAAACAATTTACACTTAATGTCTGTAAGGGCTGTGAACACTTACTGAGTACAGAACATAATGTCAGCCTGCAACTTCATTTTTAAAAAGGCTAAAGTTATTTATATGGAATCTTGTTCTATATACTACACGCCAATCTATATTGAAGTTCTATATTTAGCTATTTTATAAGTCTTTTATTAAATATATTCTACACATATTTGTAATTTCATCCAGGAAGAATTTCTTCCCAGTGAAAAAAATATAAAATCTTTAATATTTTTTTACAGATTTAGGTGAAACTAGCTCATGCTTTAGTGCTGTGCATTGATTTTTTTTTTAGCATATCAATCTTTAAATTATTGGTATAAAACAAGAGAGTGGCATCCTTAATTATGTATGCCTTAAAAATCAGCTTTAGATTTTAATATAATTGCAAGCACTAACACCAAATGCAAACTGTATAAAGAAACAAAATTAGTACTATGAAGATTTTTTTTTTTAATTTTAAGAATTCATCTGAAATCGCTAATGAGAAGCATAATGTTGAACACGATTAGGGATGAGCAATAATTATGGAAAATTTCAATTTTCTGATATTCAAATACATAAAATTGATCAGTCAATGAGGTTTTCTAATATTTCTGCGAGCTAACAAAAGCCTCTGAGCGCCTGGCATACCTCCCACTTTAAGGCTAGGAGACGCACTCTCACCCCTCGTGTGCTGTCTGAACAAGCACTCAGTGACTAGGACTCAAGAGTGCACACATTAAAGGAAAAAAAATAGTTTCATCAGCCCTCTACTGAGTGCTTTAAACAACAGGCACATTTTGTTTTTTTTCATTTGTTGCAGTGAAAATAGTCACACTCAGTTTAATATTCTGTGCCAGTGCAGCCACCATGGCTGACTTTGGTAGAATTCACCCAACATTTTAGTTTCTTTTCCATTTTTTTCCTCTTAAGTTGGCCCGGTAATTAACTTGATGGATTGCTGAGAATCTTCCAGTGTGGAATTGTATACATGAATATTTCTAGGTACAATAAACTGTTAAAAATTCTGCTGATGAGGAAAATAATGTCAATCTTTTTTAGTGCAAATTGTATTTGGAACACTTGATTTGTTAGTTCTGATGATGAAAATTTTTGTGGCAGCAAAATGGTTCTGCTATGAAAGATAACTTGTTAGCTTTTCCCCTGGAGATTGACTACATTTGAAAACCAATACAATTTAAAACTGCTCAACATAAACAAAGATATAAGAAAGAAAAAATCATAGTGAAAAATGTTCTTGTTTTGTTTTACTTTCATGAGAAAAGATGACAGTGTTCATGTGATAATTTAGTTCCATGGATTTGCAGGCAGACTGTTCCTAAAGGTTTCTGAAGCTATGTTGGGTCTCCTCTGTCCCAGCAGCATGAAAGACAAAGACTGTGTCACACCACACTAGGCAGACAGTGTTTACAGGATTACACAACAATTACTCTCTCCAGTCTTTTCACGATTCCTCTGACCTAGGGAAAAGGAAGAAACAGCTGGTTTATAAGAGCCCTAGAGCTGCAGGGAGGAAAGAGAAGGCACCTAAGTGTAAGAAACATTTTTTTCTTTAAAGTCTGCATCTTTTTTTACATTAAAATGCTATAAAAAAGTTTCTTTAATTTTAGCACCCTTCAAAAATGTCTGGTTATTTGCTTGACAATCTATTCATAAACTATAAACACTTCCTTTCCTCTGGAATTCCAAGAAAAACCCAGCCATTTTTGAATGCCTGTCTTTGTGACTAAAGTGAGATGTTCCTTCAGTGCTAGGCTTACCTTGAGAGTTGGGCTCTGGTAATGTCTCTCTGGCCACCAAATGCATCACTGTTGTTTTGCCAAAAGGAAGTTTTAATGCTACATAAAAAGTAGAAGACAATTTATTAAATATACATCGGAAGGGGATAAAAGAAAATACACAATTGGTTAATATCAGTGATCACCTTTAGAGAAAACAATAAAAAGAAATATAAAATTTATTTTAAACATACTTTTTCCTAGATTAGAAAGATGTTCAGATAAAGAGATATGCTTCTGGGCTGGGGTTGTGGCTCAGTGGTGGGTCGCTTGACTAACGTGTAAGGCACTGGGTTTGATCCTCAGCACCACATAAAAATAAATAAAATAAAGGTATTGTGTCCATCTACAACTTAAAAAATTATTTTAAAAAAGAGATATATGCTTTTAAATCTAATAACATTTCAGTTGTCTAGTAAAATTACTACACCAAATAGACTAAAGACAAAAAAATGACAAACTTACTTTTAAACATTTATTCTCAACCTTGTACTCTTTACTTAGAAAATAATCTTTAAAAGGTCAAATTCACTCAGTATTATTAATAATCATTGTTTTCTAATTAAGCTTTTAAAAGATATTTCTCACTCATAATAAAAATTGTAATATAAAATATTTCAGACAGAATAATCCACACACCTATATAATGATGAACCTAATGGAGTAAATAAATCACTTTATTATTCTATACATAAAATCAGAAGCAGCCAGTATATCTAACTTCTAGCTGAGGCTGGCCTTGAACTTGTGATTCTCCTGCTTCAGACTTCTGAATTGCTGGGATTACAGTCGAGTGCCATTGCATAGGCTAGGCTGGGCTCAGTGGTATGCTGCTGTAGAATTTTAAAAATCCCAGTTGTCTTCAATACTAAGTACTAATCCATAGAAGCAAGGTGAATTTCCAAAGTGCCCCTGAGTAACTCACCCTTAGAAGCTATAAATTTAATTGGTAGGTACTATTATTTTTCTTCTCCATACATGAATTTTAGCCAGAAACACTGGACATTAACACAATAGTAAAGGTGAAGGAAGAGGAATAGAATTAAAAATGCTTTCTCCTTTCTTCACTGTAGATGCTTGGCTTCCCACTATGACTGGACAATAACCAGAACAAAGGTTTTCAACCTTTAGCCTACATAAAAATCAATGGGGAGTAAAACTGGGATATGGTGGAGGGTTGTGCAGGCAGAAATATGCAAATGAGTATCCCTGGGGACCAGAGGCATAGCTCAGTGATAGAGCACTTGCCTAGTGTGCACAAGCCTCTGGGTGCCATTCCTAGCAACACACACACACACACACACACACACACACACACGCACACTCGCGCGCACACACGCACATATCATAAACAGATGAAAATGTTTTGAAAAAAAAATCCCCAAGGTGATTCTTATGTCCACTGTCTCAGAACCACCCTTGGAGAAACACTGAGTCAGAATTCATTGACTACCAAAGATTTGACTGGTCACCACCATCTTCTTCATCCTTTAATTAGTAAGGTTGTCACCACATCTTTCTTTTAGTGACCTGAAATCCCATGTAATTATAAGGCTACACCTCAAAAAAAGAGGATTCAGCAAGCCTGTGATTCCAGCAGACTGAGGCAGAAAGGTCAGCAGTTGGAGGCCAGCCTGAGTAACTTAGACGCTATCTCAAATAAATAAATACAGAGGACAGGGCTGGGTCTGTGGCTCAGTGGTAGAGCATTTGCCCAGCATGTGTGAGGCTCAGGTTCAATCCTTAGCACCACATAAAAATAAACAAATATAGGCATTCTGTCCATACACAACTACAAAAAATAAATAAATAAAAAGTCAGGGGATGTAGCACAGTGGTAGAGTACCCTGGATTCATTTCTCAGTATAGGGCTAAGGCAGGGGGCAGGCAGAAAGGATACAGGGATATGTTTTAAGAGACTTATAACCAAAAATTTAAGCTTGACACTTATTGAGCCACAAAATTTCAAGAATGGCAGAAAAACTAGGCTCAGTGGTATGCTGCTGTAGTCCCAGCTACTTGGGAGGCTAAGACAGGAGGACTATTGGCGCCCAGGAGAAGGAAGTAGGCCTAAGCAACATAGCAAGACCCAAAAGAAAAATAAATTTGCTGAGAATGTCTAGGTCTCCTACTTGAATCACCTACATAACTGAACCCCACCCTGGGCAGTAGCCCCACTATTTTATATTCATTTCACTGCTTGAATATCACCTATAAGGAAGCATCTCAGTTCTTGCAAGGTGGCTCATTCTTTCATGAGCTCAATGTATTCAAACATTTTCCTTTATATCTAATTTTAAAAAATAGGGGCTGGGGTTGTGGCTCCGTGGTAGCGCGCTTGCCTAGTATGCGTGAGATACTGAGTTCGATTCTCAGAACCACATACAAATAAATAAAATAAAGGTTCATCAACAACAAATATATATATATAAATAAAATGCCTGCCTTTGATTTGCAGTTACTGATTATACACTTTCAATCAAAGGGCTACAAAGAACAAGTCTAGGGCCATATAAAGCAGACCTAAGACTTCTTCCATACTAGCCATTTAAATATTTGAAAAACCTGCTATTACCCTGTATGCTGTTCCCCTTTATTGTGGACATCCAAGAATATAAAGGGGGACAAAAAAGAAAAACTGAAACCAAAAAGGCAAACAGCTGAATGGCATTTTAAAATTCTGTTCAAACACCGAGTTGCACAGGTCCTGGCTATGCTCCTACACACTGTCTAAATCACTAAGGCCAGAGATGGCTTATTTTGCTTCTGAAAAGATTAAAAACAACACAGAATGACAATAATAAAAATGAGTCAACCTGTTAATTATTCTAAAATAAATTCCAAAAAACTATAAGTAAAAATTTACAATAAAAATTTGCAATTAAATGGGAATAAGTCAATAATTTTGATCTGAACACAAATTCTATAATCTTTAATGTAACTCTGGATCATTTGGGTCACTGCAGAAAAATAATTAAGAAATGGGAGTTGATGGGAAACCGCATATATAGATCAATACTCAGAGGAGATGGAGAATCTCAAAATTAACTCATATAGTTAAAAGCTTAAATTTCAACCAACATTTACCAATTTATATAACATCTTGTTTAATTAATATAACATCTTGTTTGAGCCATACAGAATTAAAATAAAAAAACACTAAAAATGGCTCTATTCTTAATGAATGTACAATACATCCAACGCACTCCTAGTCAATCTTTACATGAAGGCTGGTTTATCTAATTATATAAAAACTGTAAAAAGAGCTGCAAACAAAAACAGCTTTAGTTTTAAATAACAGCTATTTCTTGTAGGCCACAGCATATTTTTAGGCCAGTTATAACACCAAAACTGAGTTATATGAAAGATTATATGCAATGTACCACTTGACACTGTCTAAAGTGTTGCATGCATCTGCTTTAGTCCTTATCACACACAACTTTTACAGCAGATTGTATCTGTCCTACAGGAGCACCTTAAAAGGAGATTTTATCTTTCACCCCAGAATTCCCAAGATTTTATTACTGTCTTGACACTAAGAAGAGTTCAATAAATTTTGCTAAATAAGTGAATAAAACTGTTCTACCTTTAAGGAAAAATACATTAAATACTTCATTGTTAGATTTAAGGGAAAAAAATCTGACAATAATGAAAAAGATATATTTATATTTTGTCTGCCTACAAATTTCCAATTATCTGAATATATCTGAAATTCTATACTAAAAATAAAACAAACCCTATTTATGGTAGAAAATGCACCCCATAAGGGGGCACTATTAAGCTACCATTTTCCTAATCACACATAAAGAACAATTAATAGCTAATTATTAAAGTGTTTATTACATGTCAAGCACCATTTTAAGGTGTTTGAATATATTCACTAACACCCCTCCTAACCTATGAAATTGGAACTATTGAAATCCCTATTACTGATGAAGTTACTGGGACACAGATCTTAGTTGTCATTTATTCACGGTTACACAGCGAAATCAGGGTACAATGTGGACAGTTTGGTTCCAAAATCTGTTCTTTTAACTACTATATTAGACTCATGGCTGTCATTTACTTTTATTCTCATATGATCACAATGACAATCAGCTGCAGTCAAATTAAGAACGCTTCATTATATTTGAAAACCAATTATCAGACTTTTTTTCGTTTGTCCAATTTTAACTTTAAAAATTACATCTAAATTACATTATTCAGAAGTACAATAAAATTACATCTATTATGTAACAGTATAAACTTCTAACTATACTGGGATAGAGTTTATTTTATAAAGTAGAGCTAAAACTAATTTAACAGAATGCAAAGCGTAAAGGAGTAGGCATACAGAAAACAGAATTCAGAGTTGATTTTCTTGTAACGTTTTTAGTAAAATCCAAGACTTAAGCATTAATAAATGAACAATGCTACCATGAGACAGACATGAAATCTCATTACAAAGGTGACCATTACCTCCTAAGGTGACATTTCCATGTAGAAATCGTCCTTGATAAATAAGTCGTAGAATATTTGGACTGCTGACCTGTTCTTCTTCCCAGTCTGAAAAGAACGCAAGGCAAAGGTTAAGTGCATTTCAACACAAACCTGAGGTGCTGCTACTGCATTGTTTTAAAAATTCAGATTCAAGTTAGTTGGAGTATATCAAAGAAGACACTTGGAGCTTCCAAATAATTGAAATAGATAACTATTCATGCATTTGCTGCAGCCTTTATTCTTTCTGACTCTTCCCATTAAACAGCAAGATATGCAAGAGTATATAGTTTTTGCTTTTTAAAGAATACTAAAGTATGACAAACTGTAGACCTGAAGTTTTAACAATTAAAAAAAAACTTGAAAAAAATCTAATCCCTGTGTAGAGGTATATCATTTGAAAATTAATTTCAATTACCAGTAAATAACAGGCAATATTATAATGTTGCAATATCTGTATCTGTTAAAAAATATATATTCAAGCTTGAAACAACCCACTTAAAAAAGACTTGTTAAAGGACTTAAGATAGTAAATAATGGACACACATTATTTATCATCTTTTTGAGGCGAATAGGCAAAAATTATTAATGACACAACTTTAGCTCACCTTTTCCATGATAAATACTTAGAACAAACTCCCCAAATAATATGTATAGAAGATACTATATAAATATGAAAGCTAGGAAAGTACACAAAGAAAATCAAAAGCAAACTGGTAACAATTTATAAAATGGGTGACAGAATATTTAATTTTAGCATATAACTTATGTTAATAGTAAAATATGGAATATCAGTTCATGAAAATAATGGTTTAAAGACACTGGTATTATGGCAGGAATGGTGTTAGTAATTTTTATTGAGTTGTAGATGAACAATTTAAGCTCTGGTTTTGATAACAATTTAAGAATTCCTTTTTCATCTTTGTCAGCAATTCTAGTATGATGTGTTTGTTTCCTATGGAAGTTCCTATTGTCAGGAGATAACTGTTGACTCAAAAATAATTTAAATACTCCAAAAACAGGAGATAAGGTAAACACAGACTTTCCTTTTTGACTCTGAAAAAGTTTTCAAAATGATCACTATGAATGTGAGAAAAATCACTGCCTCAAAGTGACTCAGGCACAGCAGAAATCAGCAGAGGAGAAATGAATCTGTCATTTCCTGTACCAGTGCCTCCTGCCTTTTCTGGCTTCCTCCTGGTAACAGCCTTTGCTGCCTTCTGACTCCACTAATTCTAGGGACCTCCTTTTCTAGAAGAAAGATCAAATAAGCTGCATTAATATGACTCTGAATTTATCACTTCTAAAATCATTCTTTTATAGAATATTTCTGGTCAAGATTTAAGTGTTCCATAGATAAGAAGGCAAATGACAGGACCTGTCTAAATCACAAGGGAAAGGAGAGAAGGCTGGTATTCTAAAAATCTTTTAAAAACTTTTTTAAAATGCAAAAACTTAAAGCCACATAGTTCATTATCTTATACAGAGTCTCATTACTTCCATGTACTTAATCCATTTAATAAGGTATTTTCTCTTCCCTCTCCAAGGATCTAACATTTAAAGAGACCTAAAAACAAATTGGAATTTCAGATTTCAGGTATTACTAACCTAACACGTCTGTTTTTTACTTATTAGCAATATTTCCACAAAATTGCATAGAGTATACTAAAGAAAACTAATTCCTTCTAGAAGTATATGGAACACAAATTATTTTCTATTGATCTGATATTTATCATACCTTGGTTATGAGCATCACATATTTGTATTTACTAAATTTAAAGATATTACATAATATATACATACTTAAAATTTTAATTTAAGTATTTTATATGAAATAAAATAATTTTTTCTCAGTGGTAGAGCACCTGCCTATCAGTATGAAGCCCATGCAAGTAAGTAGCATTCAATTGATAACAATCAATTTTTAATATTGGTAGATAGTATGTTCATTTAGGATATGATTTAATAGCAAAGACCGGCACTTGATTTTTTCCCTTGAATTACAATATTTTAAGGCATTAAAACTAATTTTATTATCTAAGTCAAATACTTATGAAAGTCAAAGTATTTCTTTTACCTCAATTTATAATATTGTCCAAATAAAATAAATTTGAGTGGGATTACCTTTTTTGTCTCATTACCTTTTCTACAGTATCTATATCAGAAGCCATCTTTGTTTCCCCACCCCACCCCACCCCCGCAAAACACAAACAAAAAAGATAAATTAATTTTTTGTATCATACCTAACACAATATCACTCTTAGGTACTTAAAAAAAAATTCTTCATACTGATAGTTATCTATCCTGTCTGGCTGTAAAAAAATACAATATTTTTAAAGTCCCAAGCTTTTGTCAAATTCCTTGAACCTTTAGCTTCTCTTCCTTCCTGATTTAGGAACTAGCCCCTGGGTTACCAATGTGAAGAAAATTCTAGTAGTTCCACAGTCTTTGCTTAAATCAGTTTCTTAAACTCAGGCCTATAAACCCACAAAGATATCTCCCATATGGCCTAAAAGTCCTCTTTAAGAATTTTCAAATTGTATAAATTTAAATGATAATCTGGAAGAGTTCTCTAGATGATTCAAATAATCACTTGATAACAGGTGCACCCTTGGGATTTTAGTACCATATATGCTTTGGGTTTATGTTGAACTGATGCCAAGCAGTCAGTACTTCTTTAATTGTCAAGTGATTAATGAAAAAAGAAGAGAGGGTGACTTAATACTTAAATGATGCATTCTTTGTAGAAGACTGAATGACAATTTGGTACAGAGTATGAATAAAGGTTTTGTGGTGAGCCTGCAGATAAATGGGTCATCATACACCATGCAGGAACACAGGCATGCCGAATTCAACAGTATTCATGGTGCAAACAATGAATTGGCTTTAGCAAAAATACATCATCTGGCACATTCATGTTCTTAATTTGACCATTATTGGTTTTAGAGTTGTATTTGCATTTTCTTTGTAGATGCATTTTAGTTCTGTGCTTTTTTATGGCTTAATAAGGAATTATAATTGGGTTTTATGCTTCTATATTTTAAAACATCCATTATAATAAAAATAAGTCAGTACTAGGGAATCTGTAAGAATTTTCTTTCTCTAAAAAAGGTTCCTTATGTTATTTAAAGTTGAGAAACACTGACCTAATTGATTCATTTTGTATACACTGTGGTCTTTGTTGAAACAAGCCTTGTCCTTTAAAAGTTCAAAATGCTTTGCTAATAAAATTAAATGAAATCAGCTGAAACAGACTTATCCCTATGGTACATGCCATAAAAGGGTCATGACGACACTTGGGGAAGTTCAAAGGAAGAGCAAAAACTAAAGATTCATTTAAGGAGGCAAGACAGAGTCTTTCTTAGATGGGAAAGAAGCAGAGAAAGAAGGAACACCACACACTCTCCAAAATTGCTCATTATAGACACTGGCTTGAAAATGCAAAGCATAAACGAATTTTCCCCTTTTTTAACCTTGTTCAGGAAACACATGAACTGGCATAAATGAGAAGTCAACTTTGTTTCAAACTTAATTTTAAATAGACTTTGTATGGAGTAGATAAAGAGAATGTATTATAATCTGTTAATGATAGTTTTTTTCCTTTTATTTTGTTTTTGTTATAAATAGCAATCTGTGTATTAATTATTTTGTGTTTTTCTATTTAAAAATATTTTTCATTTACACTAAAACAATTCCAAGGAAAAAGGAGAACTCTGCATACTGAGCTCCTTTACAATTTTGGAATGAGAAAACTAAATGGCACAAATCTAGGGAAGGATACAAGTCTTCAATTTCAATTATTTTTCTTCTTTTTCATTCGATGCATATATAATGTTGACAAAATGTTTGTAAAACAAGGGACAGCATCAACAATTAACAGTGTTCATCCTCAGGAGAAAAACGCCACTTACCCATTGGCCAATTGTCATACACATGCTTTGCAATGTCAGACGCAGAATCGTTGGGAGAAAACAGGAACTCTTTTGTTTTTCCACTCACCAAGATGAGGCGCAAATTTATCTGAAAGAAGACAAGTATCCTCTTAATAAAAGTCTTAAAATTTGAAAACGTACCAAAAAATGACTTGTATAGGAAAAATGACAAGGCAAACCAAATTTAATTATGCTTTTAAATTTAACTACTTTGACAATGTTCAGAATTGGACTTTTGCAAGGTTATCACTACTCCTATAGAATACACATTTTTCTATTGAGAAACTAATAAAAGTGTAGACCATGTGGCTCTTATCACTTAAACAGGGTAGAGACAATAGTCTGAGGTCTATTGTACTCCCATTTCCAAGACAATATATATTTGCTTATAGCATTCTAAACATCCTTTTTTTCACAATGTTCCCTTTTTAATATTTTTTGCCATAATTAACAATGCTATTTAAAAAAAATCACCCTATCTATTCATTTCCACATAAGTCATGGAAATATAAGCGTACTTTTCTACAGCTCTGGGCTTCTGTAAAGCATCAGAAAAACTTTGAGAGCTGAGCCCTGGAACTAGGCAGTCTAGCCTAGTGCTGTTATATATAAAGAACAAAGAATGGCACTGTTCCTGTTCAAGCTGTGCCAAGACCCAGGTTATCCTAGTTCTCTTCAGTTACCAAAATATGTATTTTTATTATTAAAAATACCAGATAATCTGTAAGATACTTAAGCCTACAATGAGTAAATTGGTAGCTACTGCAGTACCATGAAGACACCAGGGTCACAGATTTACTACTTAATCACACTCAGGATTAATGTCACTCTTAGTGCCTCACTCCTATGTTGAAGACCTAACTCCCAAAGCAACTGTCTTTAGGAGGAAATAGGGGTTAAGAGAGGTGCTAGGGTGGGGCTCTGATTCCTACCACTACAGTCTCAGAAGAGGAGAAAGAGAAGAGGAAGAGCACTGTGTACTCACTGGCCTGCAAGCCCCTCTCTCACTTTCTCATTGCCCACTGCCCCACAGCTCCAGTGAGGACAGAGAAAAGGGACCTGCACCAGAACCCAACCATGCTGGCATCCTTATCTTGGACTTCCAGACTCTAGAACTGTGAGAAAGAAATATTTTTTAAGCTGTCCAATCTGTTTGTTGTGGCAGCCAAAGCAGCCAAATACTTTAAGAAAGATATAAGAAATGTGAGACTACCTTTAGGAAGGAAAGCAACGTTGGATAAGATAGAAACTAAAACCAAATTATTAGAAAGGAAAAACATTTTGTTTATTAAAAAAAATATCCATGGGTTGCTAAGCAAATAACCTATTTATTGGTAAGGCTAAGAAAAGGTATAAAGTAAGGTTAAATTTATACTGTAGTTTTAACTGAAAAGTCAAAATTTTCTAATTTTGTTTTCCTATCTTTCTATATTAAAAAAATGAGGACTCTCATCTAAGTTCTCGGCATTCCCTATTTTTAAGCTAACATATATCAATATCACAAAGAAACTGATAATACATTTTTATATTTCAAAGATCAATTGTCTAAAACGGTTTATGATGTAGATATTCAGAATATTAGAAAATTTTAGTCTTTAGATGCAGGTTTTAAAAGAATCAAATATTTTTTCATGTTTATAAATGAGTATGAATTTTCAGTTTGAAACAGAGCTGACTAAGCCTTCCTCATGGACACTGCCCTGCTGCATATGCTTAGTACCCCTGCCCAACTTCAGTAAACATCCGAATTTTTTTTTACTTTTTTTTTTTAATTTTAATATTTATTTTTTAGCTTTCGGCGGACACAACATCTTTGTTGGTATGTGGTGCTGAGGATCGAACCCGGGCCGCACACATGCCAGGCGAGCGCGCTACCGCTTGAGCCACATCCCCAGCCCAAACATCCGAATTTTAAACTCATGGTAGAGTTTGAATGTGGCTCTGAGCTACAAAATGAGAACAAACAGCAGGGTAACACTTTATTACAGTCTTCTACTCAGAAGGAACTTTAATCATCCCTCTGGGTGAAGAAAGGAGAGAATATAATACTTTTAAGACTAAAAATTTCTATCAAATCTAATAGTTAGAAGTATCCTAAACTGAAGAGTTAAAGGCTCTTCAATGGAAACAGCTTATGTTCAAAATTGAAAACAGTAGCAGTCGATCCAAACACTAAGTTTCAGGGCAAAGGAACCCAGTGCCTGAAACACCTGCAGTGCCTGGAACAGTGCCAGGCACGTAATAGGTTCTTAACCAGTGTTTGGTCACTGATTCATATTTGAGCTTCCTCAGTATTAAGAAGCAAGTGGAAGTGCAGACTGGAAAGTCAGAGGCTAAAATTAAAGCCTGATCAGTTCAATGAGCTTTGTTTTGAATGAATAGCTCAAAATGTAGAATGGGAGTTAGTGTGCTTTGGATAGGGGGGTAATTCAAACAGGTAAGCGCCTCAATCTTTAGTTTTCTGGGAACGGGATCTTTATTTGTCAGCACCATGGCACAGTTAATTTAAACACTATCATTCATTAAGACACTTTGAGAAGTAAAATTAATTCTGGACTACATATTAACCTATATGTTGGGCCTGGTTTTCAAATAATGATAAAGACTGGGTTATTGATATAGAAGATGAAGAGACTAGTCTCCACTTGGTTCTATGCTTCTGTGTATGAAATAAACTTGCTCCTAGGCTGTAACATTAATAGAGGAAAACCCTAAATTTTCTATTTTGTTTTTAGAGGAAATTTTGAAAGCAATCACCCAGATAAACACCTACATACCCAGGATGGTCAGCAGTTATTTTTCCAATATTAACAGAATCTTCTCAGACTTATTCAAGATAAATAATGTTAATCATACTTCCTCTCAGTTAATGCATGGCAACTTCTATAAATGTGAGCCAGTAAGCTTTAAAATACTATGCACTTATCTAAATATTTACTAATGAAAGACATTTTTACTTCTTTGAAGCCAAGTTAAGTCAATCTATAAAATACTTTTAATAAAAATCTCTGCTTGTGGACTAGTGGGATCCTCATATAATAAGGATAATTTAAAAATAAGACTTCTATTTACAGTTTAAAATGTGATATACTTTTGTGTACATATTTGTCTAAAAAGAAAACTGTTATCAAGACTCTGAATGACTTGGTATGAGATGGAGTTCCCATTATGTAATGAATTCCCAGGGGATGGCATTTAGACCATCTAAATGAATTATACATTTTATAATTACTTTTGAGGCAAAACAAAGACTATTAGTAAGGAAAAACTGCCATGACCATTTCCTGTAAGGACAATAGAACAACAAGAACTCTTCAGTGCATGTAATTCAAGTTTTAAAAAGTTTTCAAACTGCCATTTCTACTTGCTAGATTAAATCAATTTGGAATCTAATCTAGAATTTAATTCATACAATAATTTTTTTAATTGGTCAGTATGGAAAAATGAGAGGAGAGAAGGAGGGAAAATGGAAAACAGAACTGACTGGAACAGTTTTGAAAATAAAAGACAATTATAGAGATGGACAATGTCCTGGGCTGGGGATATAGCTCAGTCGGTAGAGTGCTTGCCTCGCATGCACAAGGCCCTGGGTTCAATCCCCAGCACCACAAAAACAAAAACAAATCAAGATGGACAACGTCCTTTAAAAAGAAATATGACTGTTTTCTACCAAGAAACTAACATGTTGATAAAAAAAAATATATATATATATATATCCCCACTTCTCCTCTGGGAATCTGAGAGAGAGTGATTACTGGGGTTCTCTACTTTATGGTTGAATTTTTAGAAAACTATCAGCAGAAGAACATTTGACCTCATATCTGCCTTTTTGCTAAATGGCAAATGGGAAAGGTGTTAGACCCTATTTGCAAATCACTTTTTAAAAGCCTTTAACTTATCCCAGGGGAATCAGGCTGAGTGAAAAAGCCAATCCCAAAAGGTTATACACAGTATGATTCCACTTAAATGATAAGATTCTTGAAATAACAAAATTACAGTGATGGAGAACAGATCAGGGGTGGCCCTGTGTTAGGAGAGGGAAGGGAGGAGGAAATGCTGTGTCCATAAAAGCCTGGCATGAGGGATCCTTGTGATGGCACTGTTCTGAACCTTGATGTGGTAATGCTCACAAGAACTACATGTGATGAAACTGCACAGAACTAAACACACATACACACATGAGCTTTGTAAAACTGGGTAAATCTGGGTAAAGTCTGCGGATTTTATCAATATCAGATTCGTGTTGTGATGATTGTGGTCATGGAAGACACTACCATTAGGGAAAACTGGGTGAAGAATATATGGAATTTCTTTGTATTATGCCTTCCAACTGGAAAGAAATTTATAATTATTTCAAAATAAAATTTTTTAAAAGCCCTTAGCTTCCTAAAAACTTACATGGCATTTAGTATGTATCTGTCTGTAGTTATTTTTATTTCCACTTGAAGATGAACATTTTTTAAAAAAAATTGTATTAAAATAGCTATATTTTTTCTAGAAAAAATAAACAAATTTGAAAATAGATGAACATTTTCTTTATTCTACAGTTATAGATTTGTAAATGGCGTATTTCAAATTTTTATTAACTCTACTAAAAAAAATGATGGAGAAACTATTTTATTTTTCTAAATAAGATTGATTTTAAATAGAAATTATTCAAGTAACTGTAGTCTTAATGTAGTGATGATATATTTCATAATCTTTCTTTCATTCATTCATTTATTCAAGCATTTTCTGACACACACTCTGCTTAATGTCTGGATTATAAAGATTTGGCACAAAAGCTTGAGGATTTTATAACCTTGAAGCTAATTCAGACAAAGAAAGAACTATGAAAAAGAGGGATAGCGAGGATATAAAATTATTTACAATGCTCAGGAAATGTCTGCCGAATGAAATTCAAAAATAACAAAAAAGGAAGAATCTGAGGAGCTGAGATGTCCAGAGTAAGATGTAGAAGAGTGAATTTAAAAAGTAAAACCAACAGCTTGCATTTACTGAGTGGCTTACTTATTATATTTCAGGTACAGCATTTACTAAGGCCACCCAGCCATCTCTCAAACTGGCATTACTATCTCCATTTGAGAG